TTCAACATAGGCAAGTCAGGAAATGTGATACACCAGTATCAACAAAAACAAGGACAAAAACTGTGTGATTATCTCAATTGATGCAGAAAAAGCATTTGACAAAATTCAATATCCCTTCATGATTAAGACTCTCAGCAAATTAGGTATAGAAAGAAATTATCTCAATACAATAAAAGCCATTTATGACAAACCAATTGCCAATATCATCCTGAATGGGGAAAAGCTGAAAGCTTTTCCTTTAAGAACAGAAACAAGACAAGGATGCCCACTCTCACCACTCCTACTTAATGTAATATTGGAAGCACTAGCCAGAGCAATCAGGCAAGAGAAAGAAATAAAGGGCATTAATATTGGAAAGGATGAGGTCAAATTGTCCTTGTATGCTGACAACATGATCTTATATATAGAAAAACCTATAGACTCTACCAAAAAACTCTTACAGCTGATTAACATTTCAGTAATGTTGCAGGATACAAAATGAGCACCCAAAAATCAATAGTGTTTTTATACTTCAATAACAAACTAGCAGAAAATGAAATCAAGAAAGCAAGTCCATTTACAGTACTCACCAAAAAAATAAAATACTTAAGTATCAATTTAAACAATGAGGTGAAAGATCTCTACAATGAGAAGTACAAAACACTACTGAAAGAAATTAAACAGGACACAAAAAGGTGGAAAGACATACCATGCTCTTGGATGGGAACAATTTACATCGTGAAAGTGTCCGTTCTTCCCAAAGCCATCTACAGATTCACTGCAGTCCGCATCAAAATACCAATGACATTCTTCAAGAAATAGAAAAAGCTATCCAAACATTCATATGGAACAACAAAAGACTGTGAATTTGCAGAAACTTCTAAAAACATTTCAACCCAGAGGATCTTTTATTAGCCTTTAAAACCTGTTCCTCATCCTTTTTTTTTCTTGGCAAACCATCGCTCATACTAAGGTTATACAAACTCTCCCACCAGGAGAGTGGAAATGGTTGACTCAGTTTTCTGGTTTGCTTTTGTATGATCTGTTTCAGGTAAGCAATGTGTTTTGGTTGTTTTTGCTGTTTTTCTTTTTTTTTTTCTTCTAGTCTATCATGTGCCTATTTATTTAGCAATCTATTGTTTCAGAGAAGTGTAAAAGGCTAAAGAACAGACTAGTAAGCTACGTCCAATGAAATCTCTGAAATTTCAACTGCAGATCAGCAGCTGGGGGACAGGATTGGACCTGGAAAAGATTTCAGAAGGTCTCTCTTCTGGCTTTTGGACACACTATAACTCAGAATGAATTAGAGTAATGTCCTCTTGGCCTGCTGTAATTGCGGAATGAGATATTCCACAGGAGAAAAACTGTAAATAATTACACTTTATCTGCAGTATCAAAATTTTTTGTTTATTTTAGCATCAAAAAATTTTAATTCACCTTCTTCTGTATATGTGTTGCTAAAGTGAGCACAGAATCATCTACTTTTGATTTTAAAAAAAAACTCCCTGACCTATTTTTTGAGCAGAATATGAGTGTATCCATTTTGTTGTGTGTATGTGTTTTGAAGAAACAGGGTTGGAAAGTAGGTACAGAAGATTAGAAAATGGGATTGTGAGGCCCCCACCCTTACCTTCAACAATAGTGAGGATAGTTTATGTTCTGCTTAGTGAGCTTCTGTGTGAGTATGCATGTTCTCTGTTTGTTGTTTGCTTTTGCACAGAGTGGCCTCAAACTACTCAGTTTCTTGATTTCTTTTGGCATTTTAGATCCCTTTTCTGGCATTTCTCTTGCTGTGAGCTGTCAGTGATTATTTCTGGACACTCCCGGGGGCCTTGTCTCTTTTACCTTCTCTGCTCCTCTCCTGGTCTCTCACCCCTGGTTTTAATTCACTATTTCTATTCTACTGTGACCAGGTTAACAAGTAATCATGGTTGTAAAAGTTAAATTTAAGTTATTAGAGAAGTTGTAAGAGACTTTTCAATAAAGTGCTTTGTAGTGTTTTGAAGCAGTAGCAAAATTGATTCTATCTGCTTTTCTTAAAAATCAATCATATTTATATACTCACTTCTTACACTGGATTTTTAGTAAAGAATTCCTACTTACTTCATTGTTCCTAGCAGTTGTCTGCATAATCATGACCACTTTTTGTCAGATTTTATTTTTTATACATGTAAAAGTTAAAATTCTTGTACTGATTCCTTTCTTTCCAAACCAAAGCCTACTTTAGGTGTATGTTTTTTCACTTAGAATAGTTTATATTTAACATTTTACTCATGTTTTATATGGGGTGACATACTCTGTTTTGAAATTATATTAACTTTATACCATATATAATCTCATTTATTGACATAACACAGAGGAAAATCCAGTCCGATTTAGCAAAAAAAATAATGTGGAGTTAGGTGAGGCCATAGTATCTTTATTCTGAGATAGCAGTGCTAAAACCGTGGTGTGTGCCTACCACATTTTTTTTCTTTACTCAATGTTTTTAGTATATTGAGTAATATTTGGTAGCCAAGAGAGCATGGCCAGGGTTTGGAACTTGCATAAATGAATAGATAAGAATGATTTATAATAAGCATATAATTATAGAGAAGCATATATATCAAGTCTGTATCTAGATATAGAATCTACATTATGGCTGACTCCTAGAATGTTCAAATGAATTTCGTCCTTTGAACTAGTTGAGTACTCCCCCTTTTTATAGCTGGTAGTCATAATTTACCCTTTGGCCATATCATTCCAAATTACAAAAGTATAAGGTTTTATAATGCTGAGAATCTTTGCTTCCTTCCCCTTCCTCAACCATCTTTTCTACTCTTTGTTAATCGAACTCATGTGTATGAGTCAGACTTATTGTGCTATGGGGGTGGGGGGTTGTGAAACAAAATTGTTCTCCATCAGACCAGTTATATGAGTATCAGGGTCATACTTCCAAAACACTGCCCATTTGCCCATCCATACATCTTTCTGCCCCATCGGTCCTCAACAGAAAGAAGGCAGCAAGGGGTGCCAGAAGAAAAGACAAGATAACCATCTGAAGCATTTTGAATCTTTTATTCTCAAAGAAGAAAATAGATTTAGGGAGCCATTCAAAGGATCTTGTTCCTTTGCCCAATAAACAAAATTGAGATGCCAGTGATGACTGTTTCATAGCAACATAGGTTGCCTTGCAATTCAAATCCTCTCTCCCTCCATCCTTGGGGATCTTTAAAGGACCAGGGGATTCCAGGATTGGGTGGTAATGTGATTCCTTCTACCACTAAAGTCTGTGATCCCACAATTCCTCATCACTCTCCCGCAACCTCAAAACAACTTGTGAGACACATTGAGGACATGTTCCCCCAGAAAATAGCCTCCATATGAGGAATCCTGGCATATGAGTTTTACTAGATGTTCTCAGGAAAGTGCCAGGATTCATTTGCTGTATTTTCTCTCACGGCCCTTCAGCACATCTTTTTAGGATAATTCCAATTAAGATGATATGCTTGGAAAAATATATGTGCACCCCGCATGGGACACTCAGTTACTATTCTCTCTCAGCAGAATGACAGTGTAAAAAGATCGGTTGAGGCAGGCCTTCTAACCCAGCTGGTTTGTTTAAGCCTTTCGTGATTTCTTTTCTCTAAAGTTTGAGTTCAAGTCCTCCCTTCTTCATTCGCACATCACCTTATGTAGCCGCATCATACCTCGCAAGGGAAAAGCAAAAAGAACAATGGATTTTGTCCCATGCTTTCTCACGGCAGTGATACAAATGTGGAAGCTCTGCCTGGTGAAATATTCTGGCTCACAATGGTTCCAATCCTTATAAACTCGACTGGTTCGTTTTTCCCTTTTTATCATGTATGGCCCTACACAAATGCCCTGAAGTTATTTGTTCCTGTGAAATAAGCGATGTAAGCAGATGGTGCCCGATACATGTTACTGCAAAACAAAGCCTGTCTTTCTACGCAGTGTAAGAAACAACCGATGAAAAGTTTTCAGCTTAATGGGCCATTTTGGGGGGATTAAACAATTCATTGGCAGTGTAGTTTTCCCCAAAATTATTTTGCTGCTTCATTTCACTGCGCTGGTAGACCTGCTACTCCTTTCTCTAACGCACTTGTGCCAGCCCCCTACTGAACTGGTAAATTGAGTATCATTTTGGAATTCTATGGACATTGCCAAACTTTGACATTGTTCTCACAAGTACACCTTCCCTTCAATTTTAGAAAGTATAAACCATCATTTCAAACCTAGTGAGTCAGATCCTGCCAATTCTCCCTTTCAATTAGAAAATCAATGTCCAGCTATCCATTTTATATCCCAGGTTACTTGACCATATCACCTTATTAAAACCAATATGTCACCCCCCCAAAAACTGCCAATAGTTGTATTGTCATTGGCACAGGTGACTACAAGAGATGTCCTACGTCATGTTGCTGTTACACCCTAAAGAATGTTCTTTGCCAAACACAGAACCCACACAGATCTCTTGGGTTCTGGGTTTCAAACCACACTTGACCCTTTGAGGTTTAAGTTAATTTATTCTTGGCAGAAGAAAATGTATTGTTTAGAGAGAATAGGATTAGAGAGACTCATAATAAAGACTTGTAATAACACTTCTTGGACCTCAAATATGTCTTACAAAACAAAATGTTTATGAGCTAAGTGTAAATGATTCAGAAACATACGGATCGAATTTCCCCTAAAATGCAAACGGATTTAAAAATTAGCAGAAAAAGGGCCTGGCAAAAGATGTGCTTTGAATTTCACCAAGCATAGTGCAGTTTAAGAATCTTGACAAACCCCAAATGACTAGGTTTTCCTTTTGTTGGTTATCTTTTATTCCCTCCATATCTCAATTGAGAATTCAGTGGTTAAAAGGGGGAACCAAATGTCCAGAAGGTTTTTTAAAGGGTTTGTTTTCACACTCTTGTATAGCCAGAATGGGAAGCGAGCATTTGGCTGTGGAGAGTTTGTCTTTCGTGTTTTCGGCTATTTTACGTCTCTCGTGTTTCCTTTTATAATTGTTTTCTCAGGTTTGCTCCTTCTGCTGCATCTCCCCACCACATCAGCCCCCGGAGAGTTGCAGCTCCTCCTTCAATACTGCAGAGAACTCAGCCTCCCCAGACCCAGCAGCCATCAGGTTCGCACCTGAAGTCCTATCAGCCAGAAACAAACTCTTCTTTTCAACCAAATGGCATCCACGTCCATGGTAAGTGAGGGTCTGGCAGTCTCTTGAGTTTTGAAGTGATGTTGTGCTGTTACTTTTGAGTCTTAGTGACCATTTGTGGGTTTCAGATGTTCTGTTACACCCCAGACTTAGGCTTTTATGAATTCCCTCTAAAATTGTATACTTCGTAGGCATGAAATGCTATAGTATTTTCCTTGCTTTGGCACTAAGATGGTATGACTAATGACACCCCAAACTGCTCAGCACAGAGCAATGGTTCATTCATTGACCAAGTGCTCTATCACTGCATGAATGGGCCCTAGCAACAGCATCATGTTCCTAAACAATAAACAGACCAAGTAGAAGGAAACTACAGGAGTCCTTGTGCCCGGGCATGTCTCTCCTCTCCTGGGTCTCACTCAGCCTCCATTCGCATATGTGCATGAATGGGCCCTAGCAACAGCATCATGTTCCTAAACAATAAACAGACCAAGTAGAAGGCAACTACAGGAGTCCTTGTGCCCGGGCATGTCTCTCCTCTCCTGGGTCTCACTCAGCCTCCATTCGCATATGCCCAGGTCTTCCATCAAGGCTCAGATGAAATGACACCTCCTTTCTGAAGCCTTTCCTGATCCCCAGCTGATGTGATCTTTCCTTGCTCTCAACTCTGATTGCATGTCACCTGCATCTCTCAGGTTTTCTTATGCTCACTCTACCTTGTAATTGACTTACCGGAGAGTAAAATGCATCATCACTATCTGTGTGTAAACTTGTCTCTGAGGTTAGAATCTTCTGACCCATCCTTCTATCTCTCAGAGGACTTAACCCAGTTGTTCACATACAGTAAATACACACAGATACTTACTAGTAAATGGGGGAAGAAAAGGAGAGAAGGAAGGCAAGAGAAGTCACAACAGTTTTTACAATGTGCATATCTTGCATTTAAAGAGGAACACGCATAGAGAACTAAGCCTGGCTTAATTTCTTTTCTTTATTTACCTATTTTGCCAATTCTGGTACATATCTTAGTGAATGCCCGTAGAAAGTTGAATTGCCAAATCATGTAGACTTAATCATAGCATTTTAATTCCTGGGGCAGTCAGACCTTCTCTATAAGCAGAAGGGAATACCGTCCATTTAGACGGAGTGTTTCAGTCTAATCAGCAGTACTACAGAACTGGGCTTGGATGAGAACTTCAGAGTAGAGACCAAAACAGCAAAGAGGAAGCCATGTGAAGAGGGTGCTGGCTGTAGACGGAAAAGACCTTGAAAAGCCAGGGCCACTGGCTCTGGCTCAAAGTTCCATCTGTCTCCTGTCCCCACTTCCCCAGCGTAGCCACCCAAACTCCCTTTTCCTCCCAAAAACTTGGACTTCCAGCACTCTTCAGGCCTATGGTAATTTTTACCTTCTTCCATCTGGTAAATTTCTTCTCAAGCTTTAGTTATGTATTTATTCAACCAAGAAATATGTCTTGAGTGCCTACTATGCACAAGGCAAGGCATATGCAAGAAAGACAAAAAAAGGCCTCTCCTTTCCAAGGGGGCCTCCCAGCCCAGTCGAGGAGCTTGTCCAATGTGGAGGACTCAGGTCCCCTAAGCTGTGAAGCCGTCCTTGCCACTCCAGGCAGGAGTGGCCAGCTCGAGTGTGGGCCACGAGGAACACTGAGTAGGTCACTGATTCTAAGACTCACGTGTTTTACCATCACACTTTAACATTGCTGAAATCTGAACATATCTCAAAGTCAGTGGCGTCATATAATTGGCAGTGGTTTTTATTTCTGGTGCTATATAGAATAATGGAACACTTTGCAGTTTATGGTGTCATAGTTCCAATGAAATGCAGTATAACATGCTTTGATTAGAACTGTGAAACATGTTTTAAAAAAATTTTAAATTAACCTGTGCGTAGAAAAGAATTGGAAGGAAATTATCCAAACTATTGACGGTTTTGTATCAGGGTGGTAGGTTAATGGGTGATTTCTTCTTTTTTTCTGCTTTTTAAGCAGAAATTTTCAAAAGGGGTTTTGGAATTAGACCAACTTCCATGCAAATACCAGTCTACTCTGAATCGTGTGACTCTGGGCAACTTATTGGGCCTCGGTTCACATTTGTTAAGTGGGGAGAGGCTCATCTGTCTTCTCTCACCACTTGTTATGAGGATTCAACAAGAAAAGCACCTGGCACAGAGTAGGAGCTTAATTAATTTAACACTCTTCACTGTAATCCCTTCCTTTCCTTTATTAGACTCTTTGAGAATAGGGGTAATGTTTGTAGCCCTAGGGCAAGCATAATGCATTGTGCAAAGTAAGCATTTAGTAAATATTTATTGAATAAGTGATTGACACTCTTATTCAACAAATGAATAATGAAACAAGAGGACACAGAAAATGGGATCTACCCTTTCATTTTGTCCTACATCTTGGCAAAATCCTCTTCTTCCACATTTCCCTTTTTTAGTTAAATAATGAATACATTGTCAACTTGAAGTTGTTGGGTTATTTTCACTTTCGCTTTTTAATTGTTAAAAATTCCCGTAACATGAGAAACTCCTAACATCAGCCCTGAACATAAATCCAGAATATAGTTAGGCAAATTGGGAAATCATGACTTTGTCCAGGAAGACAGGCAAGCATCAGGCCATGATGAGGTGGCGAAGGAAATGCCCATGAGCCACTGCCCAGAACTAAAAGGTAGGGATCCAGATGCAGCCTTTCTCCCTTCTGCAAGCATTTTTCTGAAAATATTTTTCTGGAACTTTTCAGACACAAGCATTTCTCATCGACTACTGTTTAGGGTAAGGACAGAATTTATCTAGTATTTTTCAAGTGGGTGATACAGTGCTGGGAATGAGAGGAGATCTTCTTAATGAGTTTGATTTACTGGCCGTGCCTTGTTTGGTGGACTGTTTAGGGTAAGGACAGAATTTATCTAGTATTTTTCAAGTGGGTGATACAGTGCTGGGAGTGAGAGGAGATCTTCTTAATGAGTTTGATTTACTGGCCATGCCTTGTTTGGTGTTGTTGGACGAGTTTGCTGGATGCAGTTATACCGCATCCTGGTAACAGGGAACTTCACCCCCTAACAAAACTTGATTTTTAAAGCCCCAGGCAGTGTCAGGGTTGGTAACATGATAGCTACAGCAAGTATTTGTTCTCTCTTTCAAGAAGTTTGTGGCTTTAATGAGCATAGTCACCCCTATCTCCTCTGTACTCCATGCAGTAGGTAGAGGTCAGGGACAAATGTCATCACTGTATTTTTAGATATGGGAACTGAGACATAAAAAAATATAAAATGTCTAGGCATTGCTACCTAGGCAAAGTACACAGGCACCTTTAACAAGAGGTTCACATTTCCAAGCCACATTCTTAATCAACGCATTTTCAAGTTCAAGGCACACCAAAATAAATATGTACTTATGTTTTCCATGGGGAAATGTAGATGCTGTATATAGATGCTGTTGCATTACATAGAGCCATGAAAGATTAGGACTCAGAGGGGCCTTGGCCTTCCAAACAAAGAAGAAAATGAGGTCCACTGAGCTTTGTTAATCATGACATACTGAGCTTAAACATTGCGTGCTCTATGTATAGTTTTGTTAAGAGGCATTTTGTAAAAAGCATTCTCTGAAAAGATTAACAGCACTGCTTTTTCAGATTTCTTCACCTAGTGAATGACCCAGGACCAGAGCTCAGTTTTGTTGATTCTGTATCCACTTCATCCATTCATATCGCCTTAATTAGTGAGGTGGATAAGGTGTCTTTTTTTAAATGCTTGAATGTTGATAGCATTTACGGGTCTCTGTTTGGGTGACATCTCCAAGGCAACTTCTTAGTTCATTTTACTCCTCTATTTTAGATGTAAACATGAGGACACTCTTTCCAATCATGTAAGCTTATTCTCATTCTTCACTTTTGTTGGGATTTTTTTCCTTTTTTTTTTTTTTTGTTTCTCATTAGGACAATTATTTTATGCAGGCAAGCTTCAGAATTTTGCCTGGATTAGTTGCCTGAGAGTTGATATTTTGTTATGGTACTAATGGATAATTTATTTTTAAATGCCCTATTCACTCCAGGATATTAAAATGCCTTGGGAATTCCTGGAATAGCATTTTCACAAACTTCCTGCTTCTGGGCTCATCGAAGAGAGGCCAAGTTCAGTTCAGCCAGTGTTTATTGGTCACCTGCTATGTGCCAGGCAAACATGAATGTCATTTAATGAATGCAGTGTATATGCAATAGTAGATGGAAAAGTTACGAGATTTATTCAGAGGAGGATGTCAGCAAAGGGTTCATAGAGGGGATGCTTTGAATAGGGTTTTGAAGATGAATAGTTCATTGGGCAGGCCAAGGTATTACAGGCAGAGGGGCAGCAAAGTGCACAGGCAGCGATGCAGATGACAGTGTGGTGTGTGCACAGACAGAAGAGCCAAATAGAGTTCATGTGTGGCTGGAGTGTATCGGTTAAGACGTGGAGAGGAGGGCAAGAATCTATGAAGGCCAGCTCATAGAAGAATTTTGTGCCGTGCTAAATGTAATGCTACAGAAAGAGGATGTCAGCCTGGTGTTTTAGAAAAGTCAAGTGGAACACTGTATAGAGAATGGAATGGGAGAGGTAGAAACCTTAAGCTCTAGCTATTGGGATTATATCGGGCTGCACATATAAAACACCCTAATGGCAGTAACTTAAAAAGAGTTCAGTTCACTCAGATGCAACTGGTAAATAGGGGAATTATGTCAGAATAAGGGGAAATTGTGTTTGTTCATGCAGAATCTTTGTTAGACAAGGAGAGCTGGAATAGCAAGAGAAGAAAGTGAAAAAGCCTAGCTGCTACACAGGCAGGGGCCCTTTCAGCTCTATTTTAATAAAATTTAATGAGCATGACCCCAGGGGCACCCTCCCCAGAGAGGTGCACACCCAGCCTTGCATGGCCCTCATCTAGTAGCAGATCACACTGCCTCCTATGCAGTGGACTCGGCTATCACCTGCTGTCTCAATACCTGCAAGCCAACATTTCGATTATTGTGCATTTTTAATAACCACCT